TTGTAGAGATACAAATGTGCCAGTAGGAGGATTATTACTGAGTTCTAAATATCCTAGCAAACAGGAGGTATGACAAACAGGACCCAATTTAGCGACTGCTGACATCCAAGCAATGGGCACCCCGATTCCTCATATTGCCCAACTCTCCATCTTCATTTCCAAACTCCCTGGTTTCACCCGGAAGCACTGCCCCGCTGTGCTGTTGCACGGCAGAGTCAGGTCACCGAATGCCCCTAGGATACTATTGCATTTTTGTTAGGATGCACACCCAGGGAAAAATCTGAAAAGAGGCAAGTTGCACGCTGGAAGGCGGGACCCCGGGCGGGTCTGGTCTTCTTTCATGCTGGTCTAGAGGTTTCCATCTTCCAACCAGAACAGCATAACTTTTTATACTTGAATGTAAAGTTGCTAAATCTGGTCTCTCTATAAGACCATTTAGCTTTGAGAGTCTAAAAAGAAAAGCCAATTTAATTTTGAAATGGTTGAGAGAGTTTTGCCTGCAGGGTGGGGACCCTAAGAGGACAGTGACTCACGGGAGCCACCTGCAGCTGGCCCCAAGTCCAGACCAAGAAGTCAGGGTAGAAGCCATGCCAGCCAGAGTGACCTGGGCTGGAGCCCTTGACCTTCCTCCAGCTGAGACCCTCAGGTCACCCTTAGGTGACACAGCCCCAAGCAGAGACAACAAGCAGGTGGCAGCATGATCAGTGGCTCTGGGTAAGGGACAGTCCCCAGCTACCGGATGGAGACACGTGGGGAGGAAACTGCAGACGCAAGTGCCAGGGCGGAGGGTGAACAGGGCATACGGAGGGTCCACGGGACAGACCTGTGACGACAATCTGCGCCCTGGCCCGTCCGGTCCCAGTGCTGCTGACTGCTGTGCACTCGTAGATCCCCTCCTCAGCCTTGGAGGCCCGTGGGATCTCCCAGCTGCTGTTCCCCGACTCCCTAATGTGAATGGCAGGGGGCACAATCCCAGTAACCCCAGTCAGGACCCCAGCTGCACCCAGTCCTCAGGGACCCCAATCCCTCCTGAGACCCAGCAGAAGAGGCAGCTAGCCAAGGACACAAACTCCGCCACATGCCGTGTGAGCCCGAGGCCCTTGCCCTCTCCGACCCTCACTCCCATCCATCGAGGAGTTCCTGCCTGCCCTTGCTGCCTGCCTCAGTAGGACCCCGCATGCGTGGGTTGAGCTTTCCAGGAGATAAGGAAGGCTGACAAGGCTGGGTCAGTGGCCCAGCAGGAGTCGGGGTTTTGGGGACACACTCTCCTCCACCCCTGGCCACGCTGCAGATCCCCAGGTTGGGCTGCCCAGAAAGACAGGGACTAAGCCTGGTCCCTCTGCTGCCACCCACTCCTGAGCTTCTCCAGGCTCCTGAGCCCCATGGTGCAGTAACTCACAGGAAGTGCCTCTCCTCGCCCAGCCGGACCCCATCCCGGTGAAGCTGCAGCCGGAAGGGGATGGCGCTGTGCACAGAGCAGGAGACTAGCAAGGGCTGCTGCTGGTAGCCGTGGATCCTGGGGGGCATGCCAACCAGGGGGGCACCTGCAGACGAGGACCAGGTTCAGAGCCCTCCAGCCCCAGCCCGCCCTAGCTATGTACAGAGGCACAGAGACGCCGAGGGCCAGATCAGGAGCTAGAGACCCAGCCTGGTGAGGCTCAGCAGTCACCAAATGCGGGCCCTGTTCGGCCAGTCACAGCTCAAGTGCCTTTAGGATGTTTTTGCTTTTGTTTTATGAAACAGGGTCTCCCTGTGTAGTCCAGACTGGCCTTGTACTCACTATGTAGCCTAGGCTAGCCACGAACTCGAGGTGATCCTCCTGCCTCAGCCTCTCGGGTGCTGGGGTGACAAGCATGTACCATCAGCCCTCACCAATCCACACCCCATCTTTGGGACCAGTTCTGACATCTGTGAATCCTGCCCCCAGGCTGATCCCAGATCCCATGAGGGCAGATGGGGCAGAGCCAGCACCTCTGTGCCTGCAGGGTCAGTTTTCCCCAAGCCTGTGGTGGGAAAAATCTTCTTGTTTCAAAATAAGCTCAGCTGGCAAGAGCTGGGAAGGCAAAACTCACACAAATTATTAGATGAAAAGGAAGACTTCAAGGGACTCTCAGCTGATGATGGGTCCCTTGGGAGCCCCACCCCCTCCCGAGCCTGGGCTTTGGGTGGCTCCAACTCCCCTCAGCAGTGGGGGAGGTCTGAGCAATTCCCTGCAGACTCCAGCACCCTTCTGTCCGCCAGTGCAGAGCAGGGACAGAGATGCTCCAGGGGTGAGACAACACCAGACCTCCTCCGAGCCTGGGGTGGGGAGGGCGGCTGTGGTGACATCATGCTCCAGGCTGCCTGCCACCTCCAAGGGGACAGGGGTGTCGGACCTTGCAGCCACGTCCTCAACCACGGCACAGCAGCTGCCACTCACCCACCCAGGCCAGCACCCCTCCAGCCGTTACGCTCCCCACAACCTCTCACCAGCTGATAAGGCCCTGGGACCCCAGGTTCACTCCACTTCTTGCACACAGGGCTCCCTGTTTGAGGCGACCTCCACCCCAGCTCTGGACGGCCAGGAGGAAGGCCACATCCTGCTTACTCTACCTTTTCTCATTGCCAGCCAAGACAGAAACTCAACCCAAGCTAAGCTCCAAACTCCTGGGTCTTCACTAAAGCCCAGAGAGAGAAACTGCCCTCTCCTCAATGCTCAGGAAGGGCACAGCCAGAAGGTCTCCAGTCCCCACCCCTGCCCAAGGAATTCCCGGGGGCAGCGGCACCCACCTCCAGGACAAGGGGAAAGCGGGCAGGAGAAAGGCAGGGAAGCCCAGTAAGGAGGCTGAAGGCCAGGGAGCCTAGATAGCCCCTGCAGGGCCAGTAGTAGACCCAGAAAGCTAAGGTGGCCACTCTGCCCCCTGGGAGCTGCCTGCTCATGTTGGGAAGCCAGGCGGGGCTCTGCTGTGGGAACCAGCACAGCATGCCCAAAGGTGAGATGACAAAACGGCCTGCCCCTGCAGGGACAGGACAGGCACAGTCATGAGTGGGAGCTGGCCTCAGTCCTCTCATCTATAAAAAGGGACCCCCATCCACAAGATACGCAGTAACTGCAGTAAGCCAGCACCCTGCAGGTGTTTAGCCCAGGACTGGCCCAAGGGAGGTGCTCACAATGTCTAGAATAGGTGTCCCTAAGCTCCAGGTCATGACGATGACTATGATTACTGAAGCCTGAGGACCCATATCTGCCCTGCCACCTACCATGTGTACAGTGCCCAGAACCATATGGTGGACACTGAAAATGAGTGTTGGGTGGAGGGACATAGATGAGGGAGTGGCTGGGTGGATGAGCAAGTGGACAGATGGACAGGAGTAGGTGAATGGGATAGATGGATAAATAAATGGACAGATGAATGGGTGGGCAGACGGTGGGTGGGCAGATGGACAAGGATAGGTGAATGGGATAGATGGATAGATAAATGGACAGATGAATGGGTGGGTGGATGGTAGGTGAACAGATGGACAGTTGTACAGTTACCAGAAATAAATGATAGATAGGTAGACAGACAGACAGATAGACAGATGATAAATAATGGATAGATGGATAGATGAATGATATATGGGTGGGTGGATGTATGGATGGATGGATGGATGGGTGGGTGGGTGGGTGGATGAGTAAATGGATAGATGGATAGATGGATGGTTAGATACATAAACAAGTAAGTGAGTAGGAGATGGATGGATGGATGGATGGATGGATGGATGGATGGATGGATATCTGGCTAATTGATGGGTGAATAGAGGATGCACAGATGAACCCTTTAAACCTCTGAACTGAGAGCCTCATGTGGAGCATCTGAGTATAATGTCTGACAGGGAATAACTGCCCAGAGAAACTCGATGAGCAAACATTTCCTAACCTAATTTAATCAGCAAAGACACCCAGGAAGAAACGGGCCTCTGGGACCTGGGGAACAAAGAGGCCCACCTCTTACCTGGAGCCACACCACTGTAGGAAACCCCGGAGACACGGAGGAGGGAATTTCCCTCGGGGTCCTTGCCCTTCACTTTGAGGTAGAAGCGCTCTTTGGGGGCATGGAAGGGCGGCCCGGCCCACAGCTGAGACGTGGACTCATTGGAGAGGGGCTGCACCGGCAGAGTCAGGAGGGGACGCCCTGAGTTGTGCGTGAGCTCCACGGAGTCCAGATGGCCAGGTGCCTGCAGGCCCGTGGAGTTGATCACCAGCGAGATGGGGACGCCTGCAGGGCAGGGGAGAACAGAGCGAGGGGCTGGACTTGGGCCACACCTCAGGGACCCACCCCACCTCTACCCACTCCCATCCCACTTGCGCTGGAGGCTGAAGTCTATCCAGGGAGCATGCTGCTGTCCGTGGTCCTGAAACGTCAGTGCCTGGCGACACTGGCTTCCTGCAGCTGTCACACCCCTCTCTGCAGACCCGGCTCTGGGGACCAGGAAAGCCCCTGGCATTAGCGGCCATCAGCCCGGCCTCCGGAAGGGACTTGGAGCAGATGAACGCCCAGCTGGAGGACTCCCCGCCCCCAGCTTGTACCCTGGCTCAGCTTTTTTCTGTCTTCTTTCTGTAGCTTGATGAAAATGGGACGGCTCCCCCAAAGACAGAACTGGACTTGGGCTTCATCATTTCCTTAGATAATTTGGAACTTGAGCCAAGTCTCTCCTCTTCACACAGTTGTTTTTGTCTCTCAAAAATCGTCAGTAGACAGGTGCGGGCCATAGCACCCTCACGATGCCTACGTCTTCTGCAGAGACTCGGATGACCCAGGGCGGGTCAGGGACTAGAAGTCCCGTTGCCTCTGAAGAGCTAGCATGGTGTCCCAGGTCTTGTCTCATGCAAGTCAACCAATGGCTTGTGGCAGCTGCTCCCTGAGGCCAGACAGCCACTGTCCTGTTAGCCACAGACCTTTCCGGACCCCAGTGTCCCCAGTAATGAGGCCAAGGTCCCATCACCATTCAGCATTTGCAACTGCCTTGCTGTCTCTCTTCTTTTAAAAGCTGTCTTTGTCTCCATCTTGATCAAAAGAGGAAACCCGAGCAGGCCCCACGGGGATAGCCTTTCGCCCACGCCTACTGGAGGCCAGCCCAGGGGTGGGTTCGCTTTCAGACCCCGATCCACACTGCACTCAGAGCCTCCCTGCTCTCCTGGCTCTAGAGGAGTCTCCCTTTCCCCACTTCTTGCTACTAGCAAGGCAAACACACAACGGCTCTCAGCTCACTTCAAGCTAAGGCTGTTCCTGCTGGTGCTGGCAGGGAAACGCAGAGGAGATGACCACAATGACTGACACCAGGCACGAAAGGAAACCCCAAGGGGCCGGCACACACTCTCGGGTCACGTCTCAGGCATCCAGAGTGGCCTAATCTGGTCCCAGACGCTCCCAGCTTCTCTTCTAAGCAGACCCCACCCTCTGAATGGCCACGGCAAGGGACCACATTTTCTAAACTGTAAGTCAGCCACCAGATAGATGGCATTTTCTGGAGCTCAGGGAGCCTGAGACCCTGATGGCGCAGGATCTGACTTCCCCTGGAGGAGCTGCCCAGGGCTCACAGGTCTCCTCAGTCCCTGGAGGTGACTTCCAATTTGAAAACTTAGCCTCCAGCTTCAGTGTTCCCCGAAGCTTTGCCAGCGTCCACCTGCCTGGGGAGCATCCGGCTGTTGCCCTGCACACTCGCCCTTCAGAGCAAGCCACAGTACCCTTCACAGGGAGCCATCGGCTTGCAGGTCCCTGTGCCGTCATGGAGCAAGCACCATGCTCATGGGACAGCCTAGGAGGCTGCAGGGGTTGTGAGCTAACACAAGGGTCCTGGAGGCCTCTGTGGCCAAGAAGACGCCCTGAAGGTCAACGTCACACGTCACCTGGGCTGGGGCTGATGGGGAGGGTGCTGGCTTGGCGCTCAGGTTGTAAGGTGTGACTGAGAAATAGCATGTGTTTAAGTTTGTAAAAATGTTATCACAGTAAAAGGCATATTGCTATATTGATCCCCCTCAAATCTTGCCTCTCACTGCAAGCTCACAGATGCCATCGTCCTTGCCACTTTCCACAGCAGCTCTAGAAATTCCCTTGCCAGGTGTCTCAGTTGTGCTGTTGTCGCTGCCTGAATTGACTTAAAATGCCCACTCCTCATGGTCATTTTGACTTTGAGGAAGAGACAGAGGTCACATGGTGCTAGATCTGGTGACTAAGGTGGATGAGGACGCAGTGTTGCGCCTTCAGGAGCTGCCTCTCCACAGGATGGCGCCGACAGCAGTACTCACTGAATTTTTTATTGTACCTCACACAGACCCTCAAGAAAGAGGACTCCAGAGCTGCTGCAGAAAGTGACAAGGAAGATAGCATCAGTGTGTGCAGTGTGAGGGGAAGGATTTGAAGGGGAACCATAGCCATGTGTCTTTTACTGTAATAAATCTTTAAGATTTAAACATCATTTGTATTTTGCTCCCTACTGGTACATCACGTGGACTGGGAGAAGCAACAAGCCTCAACTCCGCAGGCTCCAAGCCGATCACACCATCTGCAGAGTTAGGGGCATCGTACCTTCTAAGGGCCACTCGATGGTGTGGTTGAGGTCCAGAGAGGGCTGCGTGGAGAAGCCTGCCCGGAAGTTGATGTCGCTGATGCCTGTGATCCTCACTGAGTGGCGGCCGCTGCTATAGACCTGTAGGCCCGTGTGTTAGCAGAGAGTCAGCCTCCAGCACCCAGCTCCGGAGCACAAGGCCACCAAGGTGGCCACTGGCCCCACAACAGCAGCTCCAGATCTCCTGCCTTTGGGGCTGTGGGGGCTCACCTGTCCCTGCCCGGTGCAGGAGCATAAGCCTGCTGACCACCCCAAGCTCTCTCTCTCAAAGCCCCTGCCTTTTAGCCCTCCTGCCTCCAGAGTCAGCAGGCCCTGTCTTCCCTGCGCCTCTGACTCCCTCCTCACAGTCCTTACAGCATTAGAGTTCAGGGCTCAAAGATGCTCAAAGGTCTGAAGACGGGGGGGGGGGCACTGCTACCCTTCCTTTGCCACCTACCGCAGTCCTAGACCCAGCAGGGTGCAGGGAATGCCCGGCTGGCAGGTGCTCATGCCATCCAGCAGCAGCAGCCCACTCTAGCAGGATGCTTTCCTGGGCCAAGGCAGCTTGCGGGCCCGGCTCCCAGCCTCCTGCCATCACTGCAGGTCCCCTGCCATCCCCCGACAGTCACCCTGGCTACTTTTTACACACTCCTCAGATTCAAGCCCAAGCCATCTTGGACAGCTCCTCAGGACACTGAAGTGGTTTCTCCAAGTCCTTGATTGCTCCCAAATCAACCACTCTGCTTCCCCTGCAAGCAGAACACTCTGCCAGGGCCGGGGAGATGGCTCGGTGGAATAAGCACTTCCCTGGCAAGTGCAAGGGCCTGAGTTCAATCCCCGGTTCCACCAAAAAAAAAAAAAAAAAAAAAAAAAAAAAAAAAAAAAAAACCACTCTGCTGTCCTTGGACCTGGACTCCTGTCGCTATGCCAAGGGCCCCACCCACGCCCAGGCCCCCTGTCAGCCACCTCCACCCCCACCAGGGCCCCTACCTTGACGGACCACAGTCCAGGGTGCTCAGGCTTAAAGGCCACCACCTTGGCTGAGTCGGGAATGCTGAGCAGCACGTTGAGACCCTCATCCTGCTGGAGGACCCGCCCTGCAGAAGCCCCAATCCTTCTCAGTTCCACTCCACCCTGGGGTTCCCCCACTGGCCGCAGGGTACCCAGGAGCAGCTGAGAGGGTGGCTCCTATTTTAATTCTTGCCTCATCCAATTCCGCACCCCTCTGCTCCCTGTGTCCCCCACCTCAGGATCCGCAGAGCCCCCTGCCCCCAAGTCTATGTCTCTGTCCCATCCCAGGTTTTCCACCAAGAAGGCCAGCCCTGGGGCAGCACATACCCAGCGGATCCCGGACTTCAATCTCAGGCCCCGGCCCACTCAGGGAGATGGTGACCTCCTTGAGGCTGGCGTCGAAAGGAAGTCCCCAGGTGTGCTCCCCTCCCACCTCGTGGTCTGTGGACAGCAGGTGCACCTTGGAGGCCTGGATCGCCGACTCCACCCACTTCAGCACCTGCAGGGATGGGTGCCCTGGTGTCTGTCTGGCCGTGTCTGACCCACCCAGGCCAGGTCCCCAGCTAGCTGCAAGCCGCGTCTGCCCTTGTGGGTTTCAGGCAGCACATGTGGTGTCCGGCTTGCTCATGTCCACTCACTTGTGCCTGCCTGGGACACTCTCACCCTCTCGGCTTCTCCATCTTGAATGGCACAGCCTGAATCAATGGCTCAGCAGGGCAGAGGGCAAGCAGAGCCCGGCGCTCTGCAGACACCCTCCCTGCTCCGTGTCCCTCCTCCTCCTTTCCTCCCCTACTTTTACTTACCTATTTCTCTGGTTTATACGGACATTTCCAATCAAATTTCACATTGCAGGGTTTTTGTACTTAGTTTATTTGACTATAAACCAAAAAAAATGGATTGCTAAGAAATATTTCTTCGTAGTTTAAAGCTGGAAGAACAGGGACTGCAAGACAGCTCAGTGGACCAAATGCCTGCTTGGGAAAGTGCAGGACCAGGGTTGGATCCCCAGTACTGCATGCTGTGCCAGCAGCGCATGCCTGTAATCCCAGCACCGGGGAGGCTGAAAACAGGACGATCACTCCGAATCTGAGCTACCTAGCAAGACCTTGTACCAAATACATAAAAAAAAAAAA